CTCTTGTGACAAGCTTATAGAGAAAATCTTATAAGGGTAAAATCATTTCGGATCTTGCATGATCTGACGTCAGGTTTTTAACCTGGGAATTTACGACTAACTTACGACCATATACGGTCGTATACTACACTTGTACACGACAGTCGTTTATTTTCAACGTATACGGTGATCGTAATTTAACGTACGGCATCGTATACGATGCCGTTTCTAGACGTATTTCTTCGTATACGACTGTTTACTATCGTGCCTTTTCGACCTGGGTAGCTTCTTTATGTGACGATGAATGATTCAATCTTCAACCCACCATTCACATGTAAGACGTTAAATGCATCGATATTTTAATTAATTGTCGCCTTCTGCGATTTAAAATCATCCGTCATGAGGTCTCGAGCGTCGGAGAAAAATTTCCGAATGGCTACCAAGCAATGAGCTATCAATTTAAAAGAATTGAAGATCTAGTCTGCAGTTAGCTGACATTCCATCCAGCGCGCAGCGCTGAATGGCAGTCTAGTTTATCTTTCTTTATTTGCAATAAAAAAAACAAAAATTACTGATTCAGACAAACGAAGAAAGAAAGACGAGAGAAAATTGTGTGTATTGCGGTGCATATTTGTACTCTACTAGGGGTTGCGGTGATGATGTTTTTTTCCTATTCTCTTTCGTTTTTGTTTACAGCTACATGTGATATCCTTGGCAAACGAATTTTCGCTTTTGCTCGTATGCATTATTTTGAATATTACAAATCGCGATGAAAGAATCGGCGTAGCACGATATATGACGTCCGCGATGATAAAGGATGGATGTTTTTTTTTTCGTAATTCGCTCCCATTAAGTTAAGGGACCATCAAAAAAAGCCAATTTTAGTCAAATGTATCGATTTTATGGTTTATAGCATGTTCGATAGAGCGAAACGTCTACTTTCAAATGCAATATTGTTTATTGATTTTATAATGAGATTTAAGGACATTACATAGGTTTTTCTGAACCTTCCTATAGAGGAAATTAATGGTTTTTTTTCTGAGAAATTTTGATTTTTACGTTCCATACATTCTACATTTCTTCGTCATTTTAAATGTTAGAAAGCTCGACTCGGTGTTGAATGGAAGTACAGATTAGCATTACAACCTAATAGAGCTGGATCTTTCGATCTTCACATTAATGTTTAAAGAAAAAACTAACCGTTTTGGCTTTATTCTCCCTAGGTTTTCCATATTTCATTTACGAACTTTTCTAGGAACACAAAGTAAGAGAAAATCGAAAAAATTAGGTCCTACTAAATTATAGAGCTAATTTTTATCTTCATTTTGACAGCAAACTGAGCTTTCTAAAATTTAAAATAACAGAGAAATCTAGGATGCATGGAAACCTAAATTTTGACCTGTATTCTGTTTTTATTATTCATTTTCTTCGATGATTCAATGAATATAAAGACAATAATAGTTAGCGTCATCTATCGTAATATGTCTCACATGAGGCTAACGTACGTAATACACATTGATAAAAGCTTCGATTGATATCTAATATATTTAGATTTTACCTCACATTTAATTAATAATAGGAAGATTAAAATTTTTAAAAAAAAATTGTTTTACGTTTTTCTCAAAATTGATTTTTTTTTTCGATAACAATCGAACTACAAACGAATGTTTTTTTAGAAATTTGTATTATTTTTTTCATCGATAGATACATGGATAGTTCTTCAAATGAGAGAAAGAAATTTTCTAATTAGTTGTCAATGCTAGAAGAACCCTGAGTTTTCTAGGGAAAGCATTCTTAAGAGTTCTGAATGATTTTCAAGATTGCAATTGGTCTAAAAAATGTACAAAATTAAAAAATCCTGTTTTTTATCTGAAGCAGCAAGGAGTCCTTTTTCAAATAAAAGCAGCTCGAACTCTGCAGCTTGAAGTATATTAGAAAAGAAGTTTTGTACAGGTAAAAACCCCGTTTAACAATTTGGTTCCTAGATATCTTCTAAACGATAAGGTATAGAGGCATGAATTATTTTAGTAATGTACTTCCATAAGTCTAATATCTATACAAAGTTTCATTAATATCTAATATACCTTGTTGAAGTTTCGTTTTTGATGGAAATCCTCAAGTAAGTATATGACTTTACTTTATGCTTAGCTTTTAACAATAAAATATAGATGACACTTCATATTTAGTTTATCTTAATTAAATCAAGTAACGTATTTAACTTTAATTAACTGAATAAAATAAAGCTAAACACTATTTTCTATCCTGTTAAGTAACTTCATTTTAACAAATAAAGTGGGTCACATTTTTCCGTAAGATACTTCAAGAAATCTACAGAAAAAAAAATTTCATTGAAATTATTAAACCCATCACAATAAAAAATGATCTATTTTTAATCAATAAAATAGAACGGATAGTTTTGATCAATTTATTTCTATGAATTTGATTAAAAATAAAATTAATTGTATTTACTGCATTAAAATGTTGTTTTCAATCGATGAATTTCTTTTTAATATCTGTCTTATCAACAGAAATACCTTTTTTTTTTCTGTATAAAATTCATGAAAAGTCATGATATTTATTGTTAGTTTTCAATTTCCTAAGTGATTATGGTTTGGCAGATGATTAGTCATAAAAGAATTTTATATGACGTTTGTTGAATGAAAACGTAAATATGTCAATAATTAAGGCAATCATCTCTATCTATCCTTTGTCGATTTGATGATGAAACGATATATAATCAAAATTCGTCTAGATTTTCCTATCTGATTAAGGAAATCGATTAGTTTAGTCGCTGCATCAATTACTTCATTGTCTTGTTTCACCTTTTTGTTTCATTATGTTTTTTTTGTTTTCTCACCATTTTTCATATGGTAATATAAGTTGGAGCGAAAAGAATAAATAATACAGTTGACTTAATTTACTAGTAGTTTATATACTAGTACTTATAGGATGCGAAAAGTAGTGGTATCATTATCTTATTCCTTAATACAAAAGTGGAATAGATTTTCGTTTTTTTTTAATGTAGTGATAGAGAAAATGATGCTTAATTTTTCAATGCTATTTGATCATTCTTCAACTAATATCATAATAATAAAATTTCGATAAGAACTGTTTTTTGTGTAAAACTTCACTAGTATGTAAGACAGATAAAATGGTCATTCTTTGCATTTTTTTCGCATTTCAATATTCAATCAGTTAATAGGCTGTATTTAAAAAAAATATACTACAAAATGCAGCGTAAAAAGTTCTACAATACACATAGTAAAGGTTACTTTAATTTTGTATTTCTTATTTTCAAAAAAAAAAAAAAAAAGAAAACTTCTGTGTCATCGACTTTCGCTGTTCCAAGAAAATTGTAAAGCTATTCACATTGCATCTTATTTTATATTTTTAATACAACCTATTAACTGATTGAATATTGAAATGTAAAAAATGCAAAGAGTGGTCATTTTTAATCTGCTTCATGCATAAATGAAGTTTAACACAAAAAATAGGTTCATATCAAAATTTTATTATTACAATAGTAGCTGAAGAATGATGAAATAACATAGAAAAATCAAGAATTGTTTTCTCTATCACTACATAAAAAAAAGAAAACCTTTTCAATCGTTGTATTGAGAAATAGAATAATGACGCTACTACTTTTTATTTTACCCCAAGTAATATACAAATAGTAATATGTGTAATAGATATATACAAGTAATGTCATTTTTATAACAAAGATTTTATATTAAAATAATTTTTTTCTAACTACATTTAATATATTAAACTTCAGGATGATTTTAATTATATCTATAGTAAATGTCTCTTTTTCTTGATTTTTTGATTCGTTACTTCATAGATATTTTTTATTGTGGATTTAACCTTTTTTTTTTTTCATTTTGTCAGTTCTTATTAATGAAAATGTGTCAGCCTTCATTTGATTTATCTGTTTAATAGAATAATTGTATGTGACAAGACTATAGTGATGTGTACTTTTGTTTCTAGATATACATTGAATTGTCATAAAATTGAAGTTCTTTTTCATTGAACCGTGGCTCAACGTACAACATCATCGACGATCAACGTCGGTGAAACATGCAATCAATTGAAGACTGCATTGGTAAATGTACTCGATCGTCAAGGTGAAACAATGCCCGTTCAAGTGCTAATCGATCGTCTTGTTGACAATGTACATCGATTGGCTACTGTGGACACAGCTGGTGATATTCTTCGTTTCATCTTCTATCCATTCGGTACACGAGCACTTGATCATGGATCTCAGGTAAAAAGCTGATCAAATGATTAATGTAATGAATCTTTTGAATAATTATTTGATGATAGAGAGTAATTGTTAAAAAAAAATCCGATATACATATTCTATATTGAGATCAAACAGAGTAAAGTGAATGGAATCAAACTTGGGAGAAATCGCACCGAAGAACTGGAAACATAGGAGTGTCGTTGAGTTCGAATTATGTCAAACACATCTATTATATCCTCCCCCGGACAAAAAAAACCCGCCTTTTTCCATTTCATTCTTTCACTACTTAATACAGTGTATTAAAAAAAAACAAAATATACCACAAGATGCAGCATGAAAAGAACTACAATTTACGCAAGACCTCTTTTTTTACAGTTGCCATCTTTGTTTTCAAAATGGATAAAACTTTGAGCAACCAAATTTCGACCTTGCGAGAAAAAGATGTCTTTTTTGGTACCAGATGAATTCGTTTTTTCTTATTTCATCTTTTCATTATCTGATATTGTTTATTTAAAAAAAAACGAAATATACCACTGGATGCAGCGTAAAAAGCCCTAAAATTTATACAGTAAATCTTCTTGTAGTTGTTTTTAACAAAAGCAAAATTGTGTACTGCCAATTTTCTCATGGTCGAAATTTGGTTATTCAAAGTTTTGTCCATTTTGAAAACAAAGAGGGCAACTGTAAAAAAAAAGCGGTCTTGCGTAAATTGTAGTTCTTTTCACACTGCATCTTATGGTATATTTTGTTTTTTTTTAATACACTGTATTAAGTGGTGAAAAAATGAAATATAGATGGAGAAGATCAAATGTTCATATGTAATGAGATATTGTAGAAATATTGATTTTTCTATTTTTGATTCCATCTGATAAGTTTTACTCTAATATAAAAATGATGAATAATTGTGATATTTTTCGATTATTTAGCTCTTGGCTATCAAGATGGCTAAACTTATGCAATGGTGGCTAACAGTAAAACCAAGTGAAGCACCATCCAAAGGTTTGCTCGAATTAATTCGTGAACGACGCATTATTATTATACAACAAATCGAAGGTCGACTCATTCCGAGGTGAGTGCTATTTAAGCAAGTACATTAACAAGAATACATCGTTTTTTTCGTATACACAATACTTAGAAATTTACAAATATTCTGTGATAGATAGTTAACTCATATGAAGTCATTCAGTGTGTGTCGATAGCTTGCTATTGTTTGATATTGACTTTCTCAGCATTCGTTTTTAAATGATAAATAGCATAGTATATTTTCCTATATGATGAAGAACAAAATTTCTGTAAACTTGAATTTGACTGAAAGTAAAATATCAAAAATAAAACTTATACATATGTTAAAAGATGCAAATGTTAAACATGATAGTGCATAGATTAACAAATTTGTTCATTCTCATCCACATTTTAATAGCCATTTTTTGATTTTCTGCTTTTGTTTTCGACATTATGCAGGATAACCAAATTTTCCGCATGATATCTAACAGTAAACCTTGAAAAAGTTAAAGAAAATGATTATTATTATACATAGAAATAACATTTCATGGGCATTGTTTATGAAAAATTCGAAATAATCGTGAAAAAATCTGTAAAATTCTATAGTTTCTCTTTCGTCAAGATTTATAAGATATTATTAAAACTCAAAGATGATAAAATACGATTAAAAATAAATATAATATAATATACAAGATATAGAAATGAATTGTCATTGTTTTTTCTTGTTTTAAAGAGTGAATTATCTCATCTGAAGCCATTCATTTGCAACAATTTTGTCTGAGCTTCATTTCTTGTTGATAAATAAAAAATGTAGAATTCTTACTTCATGATCAAAACACAAAGATTGACTCAATTAATTAAACTTCAAAAAAAAATCTATTGAAATTTTTTGAATGTTGATAGTATGAATTATCAAACACAGAAATCGGTATTTTTTCATATATTTAACTTAATTTGTTAATCATTCTGTTGTTTTATTTCTTAGTCGACGAGATGATCCTCGAAAACCATTGACTCTACTTCATCTGATTCGTCTATTTAAATTTACACGATGCACTGGGAAAGAAATGAATGCATTGATTGAATTACTCACTGCATGTCTCAACTACAATGAAAACAATGCTATTGATATGCAATGTTATCTCATTGCGCCGGCTCATTTTGAATCACTTTGGCGACTCTATTTTGATCCATTATTGATTGAAAAAGTAACAAGTCAAGATCCACGTGCACGCAATGATGCTCCAGGTCAAACGGCTTATTTATCAAATCAACCAATTACAGTCCGATGGACGGATGGTCGTGAAGATGCTTGTACTGATGGTGTAGTAAATGGTCGTGAACGTATTGATCATTTAGTTCATCGAGCATTAAGTGCCTGTAATGGAAAAGAGCAATTGATGAGTTTACTCACTAGTATACAAACAAGTTTATTCAAAGCTGATCATGTCTTTTCAGCTTGGCAACTTCTTTATCGTCATATCAAGACATTCGATTATTTTGACAAAGATATTAGTGAATTTTTATTCGATCGTTTACAAGACGTTGATATGATAGGTTATGAAAATCAACTGTATAAATTTATTATCGATCATTCATTTGAGATTTGGCCATCAATGATCAATAATGATCTACTTGAATCAGTTCGTTATCGAATTGTTCAACTCATACAAATACTTATTAATAACAAGACAAATGATTCGAATCAACTTATTGAACAAATAACTGAACGTATATGTGCAAATACACCAGTAAACAATGTACGTGGTCATCTTTGTTTCTTCGTACTTCTTCATGAGTTACTTCCGATTTATTACAAAGTAGTCTTAATTAGTGCAATTAAAAAAACCAATCTGAATATGTTGATATGGTATGTTGATTTTATTATGGATGATAACGATGAAATTGATAATAAAGCAAATCATCGTTTTATTCTATTGTCAATTTTGAAATATACAAGTATGTTTACTGAACATAATCTACTCCAGCTATGGTTCGATCGTTTGATACTTCATCCACTCAATGCATTCTGTTTTCAACTCATCGAACATTCTGTTTGTCCTACGACTACACTTGCAACTTATGTACAACATGCCAATGAAACACAAGTTCAACAAGTTCTCAATTGTATTCGATTCGATTTAGCTCAAGAATATATTCCTATCTTATTAACAATTCTGGAATCATTAGCTAAAAGTATTCATACACAAAAATATCTTTTTCGATCGGATGATCTTCATCAAACTATTCAATCATGGTTACAATTGATTACTCTACCATCGACTATCATTCGACTCATTGAATTACTTCTCGATATTGGCTACTCAAAATATAATAAACATACAGTCGATATTGCTCAGTTCTTTCTCAATGACTATTCTTCTACATTGATGTCGATCAATTTCGAAAGTAATAGTCCTTTTGCTTACATTATTTTATTTATATCTTCAATTGGAAATATTGATGATATGAATACAATCGATACAAATTCGATCGGAGAACGACTTATGAAACTTTTATTTAAAAGTGTCGATGAAACAATCCATAGTGATAATAGTCCAAGTTCATCTCATTTACTTAGTCTCAGTAGAGAAATTGTCAAGGCTCAATCACGTACTAAAATGATTCCACTTCTTTCATTATTTGTACCTGATCTTATGGGTCTATTAGGTCGTACCGGTCAATTGAAAAAAGCTGGTATTACTTTACTCGCTGAAATCTTAGATTTATCGGCAAATGAACGTTCTGTATTGACGGGTAATGTTCAACATGAATCAATAACAGACAATGATAATGAATTATTTACTGAAATTCAACAACAACAAACATTATTCTTCAGTAGTGAACAATCAAATACATCGAAAATTGTACGTGTACGACATGAAGATTTTCTCAAAGCTCATAAACTTCTAGAAAACTTGAACAAAGCACAACCGAACAAAATCGATCAGATTCTTCGATCTCATCTATCATACACACGTTCTAATGCATCAGTCGTCAATGATCAAGAAAAACGAGATCGACTTGTTCTTACTGATACAGCACGTGAGAATGTCTCGAAAGTACTTGAAGTACTTGATGATCCTATTCCAATCTTACTCGAAGGAAGTACAGGTGTTGGCAAGAGTGCCAGTGTCATGGAAGCAGCTCATCAATCAGGACATATTCTCATACGTTATAATATGTCATCACGTGTTACAATCGATGATCTACTTGGTAAAATAGCGCTAGTACTTGATGAACAATCTCAAACAACACGTTTACAATTTGTTGATGGACCATTTACTACTGCATTTACACACGGTTATTGGATACTTTTTGATGAACTCAATCTGGCTCAAGATACGGTACTTCAAGCTATCGAATCAGCTCTTGATACACGTCAATTGATCATTCGTAATGCGAGTTCTGCTCAACAATCAGTTGTCGTACATCGAATGCATCCAGATTTTCGATTATTTGCTACACAAAATCCAAATACAGGCTTTTTTAAAGGCAAACGAGAAAAATTATCTCCATCATTTCTTAGTCGTTTTCGTCCACTTATATTCAAAGAATTACCTGATTGTGAATGGCGTGAAATCGTTCAACAACGACTATCATTTTTTATACCTGATCAAGCTGAAGTTTTGGCCGAACTTCTAGTATCACATTTCAATGCTAGTATAAAGAAAGCTCTAAATGATTCTACACAGACATATATCGAAACTGGTCCCTATGCTGAAATTTCAATTCGTGAACTTCTCAAATGGGTCGAATTACTTATCTGCTGGCAAAAACAGAATGTTTCATGGTCTCATGATGTAACTTCTCGTCTTTCTTTTCTCAGTTTCAGTGCATGGTGTGTCTATGGTGCACGATACCGTGCAGCAGGTCGTATTCTAATCGAAAATATTCTAACTGACAATGGCAAAGGTGGTTGGGGACGTCCAGCTCTACACAGTATCAAAATGTCTATTGATCATAATCAGAATTATGTCTACTTCGATAATATTCGCTATCCGATTCGATTAGAATTAGATAATGATGATGATGCAAGAAAAGAATGGATATCAACATTTACTGCAGCCAATCTTGAAACAGCCGATTATGATCAAAATATATGGAATCTAGCTCTTAAATTACATGTAACTATCCATAGAGTATTAATGACAAATGAATTTATTCATTTGCATGGTATCTATCGTATTGATCGTTCTTGGCTTTGGGAATGGCTTATCTCAGCAGCTCGTTTAAATCTTCTTGGACAACGAAAAGATTTCATATATCATGGCTGTAAGATGTATCAAAGTCGTTTTCGTCATATTCAAGCACAAGAAACAATTCGTAATTGTTTCAATCAAATATTTAACGATTCTGATTTGACACGAAAAATTACATCTGATGATGTTTTCATACGACCAGAAATGCCCTATGTGCTTACCGATCGTGTATTGTCAACAATCAAACAAGTATGTTTCAATATGAATATTAAACAACCGATTTTAATTACGGGAGCTGAAGGATGTGGTAAATCAGAACTTTTATTGACGTTAGCTTGGTTCTGTGGTCAACAAGTACATCAATTGAATATTACTCCTGAAACTGAACCATCAGCTCTCGTTGGTCAACTTATTCCAAATGATAACAAAGATGAAAATGATCCTAATTATGGTAAAAAATTGATTTGGCAACATGGATGTGTTACTCAAGCATATATTAATGGTCAATGGGCACTTCTAGACAATCTTAGTTCGGCTGAATCATCAGTACTTGAACGACTTAATCCTGTTCTTGAACAAAAGCCTATGCTAATATTAACAGAAAAAGGTGATGTTAATGAACAACCTATGCATGTAAATTATCAACTTGTAGCCACAATGACACCACCAGATGCTCGTTATTCATCACAAACTAGTTCGAGTAGTTCGACCAATGAACTTTCACCAGCACTTTACAATCGTTTTGCTGTTATTCATATGGAAGATCTGTCATTCGATATTATTCATGATTCACAAGAATTAATTCTCATTACTAAAGCACTTCTATCTGATGAACCTACTATTGATCATACATTGGTCATTGAATTATGTCAAACAATTCTTTCGTTTTATAAATCTAATACGAAGAATTTTCCTAAGTTTACTTTACGTAATATTATTCGATTGCTTGACAGTATCTATCTTCTTCAGTTAAGATTCAAATCGACACTTGATTTCATCTCCAGTCTATGGACAGCTTATCATGTAACAATTGCCAATCAAATTAAAAGTGAAGAACTTCGAAATCAAATTACTAATCAAATCAAACAATTACTTGAGAAAGATCGATCAACAATCGCACTTCATCAACCAAAATTCACTGATTGGATTCATGAGAGCACTGAACATATCTTAACTGAAAGTCGACTAAATTACGCAAATGCAGTATTAGGTGCTGTAGCATGTAACATTCCTCTTCTACTTGAAGGGCCAGCAGCAGTTGGTAAAACAGCACTTATTTCCTATTTATGTAAACACATGAAACCACAAACATTAAATAATACTTCAAACACAACAATTCAACTTGAACGAGTCAATAATACAGATACAACAACGATTCAAGACTATCTTGGTACATTTCTACCTTTCAATGATGGTTTTACTTTTCAGAAAGGAGCTCTTTATAGAGCTATGGAGAATGGTTGGTGGTTTCTTGCCGATGAATTTAATTTGGCTGATCCATCAGTTATGAATATGTTATTTCCATTACTTGAAGGTAAAAATATCATTACCATTCCATCAAGTGGCAAAATAATCAAGGCTAAATCCGGTTTTCAATTTTTTGCAACACAAAATGATGCTTCATATGCTAATCGACATCAACTACCTGTGTCATTACGAAATCGTTTTCTTGAAGTTCAATTCGGTGAATTTCCAAAAAATGAACTACCAGAAATTATTCGAAGACGTAATGAAATTGGAAAACAAAAACCATTATGTTTAACAGATGCATCGACTTCTCAACTTGCCGAATTCTATCATCGAGTTATTCGCACTCAATCACGTATTACATTTCGTGAATTAGTGAAATGGCTTCATCGACATGCTCTGTTTTCATCTGAAAAAGAACTTTGGCCTATTGTTGGTGCTTCGCTTTTGGGTGCCAAATATCCAGTCGATTCTACTATGCGACAAATACTTCTCAATGATCTACAATCAATCTGGTCTAAAATTCGTATGTCACCCAATCCACAGATCGAAGTTAAAGAAATCGGTGGACAAGTTCGTTTTCGGGAAGGTGAACTCTATGTCGATATACCAAATATGAGTTTAACTGACAGTCTAGTTCTTACATCACCTGAAACATTTCATCGTTCGCTTGTTCGTCTTGCTCTAGCCGTTCATGCCAAAGAACCTGTTTTGCTCATTGGACCAACTTCATGTAAGACATTACTTGTAGAAACATGGACTCGACTTTCAAATCGATCGAATGAACTCGTCAAAGTACATTTGACACCAGATACAGAAGCTAGTGATCTAATTGGTGAAATTCAACCTTATTCGTTTCTTGATCTACTTAAACGATTACCAAGTATGGCTGAACGTGTTTATATTCGTTTTCGAAGTCTTTGTCGACATCATAGTACAACAGGTGAAGTAACAATTAATGATGAAATTTTTCTTAAAAATCTACGTGATATCATTACCAGTCGACTTCCTGATGCCATTCAAGAATTTGAAATAGCCTATACACGTGATGAAGAACATCGAAAACAAAACAATGATCTTCATGATAACTTTACAGTACTTCGTGCACAAGCTGAAGCTATACTCTTGCCAATATCATCTATTGAAATTCTTGCTGAGAATGAGAAAGATATGGAATCGACTATAAGTCTACCAATCTCTTCTTCTCAAATGAGACCAACAATAAACACATCGTTTCCTAGTTTCTACGAATTGGATGATTCCTATGATACTTCATATCAACCTGATATGGGACAAGTCTATTCAGACGGATCCTTTGACATGATGGATGATGGATTTGGAAATTATAACGAAAATTTCAATCATCGAGATGTATCAACCATAGGTACTAGCACTACAACAACAGATTATTTTGATGATGGTTTTGGGCAACCAGCACCTCCACTAAAATCAAATGTTCCATCGCAAGAACACGTGTATGAACTTGATGATGGCTTTGATCAGTCAGTATCTTCATCGCGATTGAATGTTTCATCAGAAGAAACTATTTTCGAATTAGATGATGGATTCGATGTACTTGTTCATGTGGAAAAACCCGAAATTCTATCGGAATCAGAGAAAGAATCAAAGGATCAACTACAACCGATGATACTTGATGATGGCTTTTCTAACATGATAAACGCAACAACAGCAACAATGACTACTACTACCGAATCAATTCTACCATCTACTACACATTCGAATCCAGTCTATGAAATAGAATTTCCCGAAAAACTGATGATTACTATTGAGGAAATTCATGATGAATTCAAAAAAATGCTTCAACAGACCAATTATGCTTCATTTACAGCCAAAGATGCAACATTACGTGATTATCAATCGAAATTCAATGATGTCTGGGAACGTCTAACATCACGTAATTTCGATCGTACGAAACCAATATTTCTCTTCAATGATGGACCAGTAACTATGGCAGCTAAACGAGGTGGTATTCTCTTTCTTGAAGATCTCGATCTACCAAGTCAAGCAGTAATTGAACGATTGAATTCTATGCTCGAGCCAAGTCCTACTTTTGCACTTACTGAAGATATAACAAGTCATGCTGAAAAAGGTCAACTTGATATAACATTATCGAATCAATTTCAAATTTTTGCTAGTGTTCATCAAGAACAAGCTCATCAAATACTCAAATTGAGTCCAGCTACACGTTCAAGATTTACAGAAATTTATATTCCAGCTTATGTCGAAAGAGATCTTCAAATACTTGTTAAATCAGAATTAAACAAACATAAAGTACACATCAATCAAATTGATTCACTTGTTGAAATTATGTTTTCTTTACGTCGAAAATTACGTGATGATCCTGAATGGAAACTTGATAATGATATTCAATTATTATTTCGTTGGACTGATTTCATTACTAGTCATCATCCATCAATATCTCTTGTTGATCGTCTTTTTCTTGGTGCTCGTTTCTTCTATTTTGATCAATTACCTTTGTCAAGACATATTTTTCTTTTCGAACAATGGCGTAAAAGTTTATCAACAGTGAATAATTATCATGAATATGACGATATCTTCAGAGCTCCAACAGAGTCACATGGAGCGATCACTTTAGAATCGCTTAGATCGGTTGATGCAGAGGAAGAAGCAATATTTCCATTTGAAGTAGGTCGTGGATATGTAGCATTACGTTATACTGGTGTTCGATATTCTTCTGAACATATTGATGAACAAAATCAAGTAACACAATTGAATGATCTTCGTAAACGTTTCTATTGTGTTCCAACACCGACAATGATCAATCAAATAGCACGAATATTTGCAGCTACTTCGTCGAAAACACCACTTCTACTCGAAGGTCCACCAGGTATTGGAAAAACTCAAGTAGTTACACAAGTCTGTTCATTACTCAACAAACAATGTGAACGAATTAATTTATCAGCAAATACATCACTTGATCAATTGATTGGTTGTATTATTCCTCGATTTATCAATGGAGTACGCATTTTTCAATGGCAAGAAGGTCGAGTTTTATCAGCAATCAAAGCTCAAAAATGGATTCTTTTCGATGAACTCAATTTAGCTGCACCTGAAGTACTCGAAGGTCTTACACCTTTGTTTTATCGAGATACAACACAATTTACTGTACCAACAACAGGTGAAATAGTTGATATAAAAAATGTTCTTATATTTGCTACGATGAATCCATCAATGATTGGTGGTGGTCGAAGTAAATTGCCTCGTTCAATCAGTAATCTATTTACTATTGTTCAACTTGATGATTATTCACAAAAAGAATTACGTATTATTCTCAATCGTTTATTTGTTCATGATCTAGATGAAAAAAATATTAATATGGATCAACTCGATGCTTTATTTCAAACACATACATCACTTAAAGTACTTGTACGACAAGGTACACTTGGACGAACAGGTGGACCATATGAACTTAATTTACGTGATTTATCCAAATTTCGAGATATATTTCGTGGTTCAATCGATAGTCAACTATTTCATTATCAATATATGAATACGAATGATGATGAAAATCAAGAAAATAAGACAACAGAAGAATTAAATCCATCTATGGACACATCTGATGCTCGATTTTTATCAATTCGTAAATTTGCTCAAGTTGCTTATGCATGTCAATTTCGAGATCAAAATGATTTTATTCAAGCTTGTGAATTAATTAATTCAAAATTTCCGATCAATACAGCTTTGAGTAAACGAGAAAATGATTGTTCAATTGATACAAGTGTAGCAACTGTTGTACGTATTGGTTCAATATATGTTGGAACTGGAAGAGAAGAACCATCACCAATTGATACTGGACTTATTCATACAAAAAAAACTGTTCGTCAATTAGAATTACTTGCAGCTGCATGTCAATCGAAACGAGCTATACTTCTTGAAGGTGATATTTGTTCTCGAAAATCATCGCTTGTTATGGAACTTGCACGTTTGACACGTCATCGTCTTATTATTATTCCATTACATGAGAATTTCGAAACAACAGATCTTATCGGTTCTTGGCGACCAAGTAGTGATCATGAACATAATGATCCATTATTCAATAAAATTGATATATTATTTAAACAAATTATCAAAATGCTTTTTCTTATTATTATGCCACTTTTATCGAAAGCAAGTAATGAATATGTATTCAATCAATTCAAAATAATTCTTCAAAAACGAACACCTATGATAGGTACAAGTCGATATGAAATAATTCCATATGAAATTGAAGCTCTTGATGAAACAATAAAATTATTAACAACATTAACAAAAATTTCTCAAATGTCCAATGAAATAAAAGTACTTATTTCATGTTATGTACGTCAAGCTGATTATTATGTTAGTAAATTGCAACATACTCGTTTAAATATAAAACAAGAAATTGGTTTTATATTTGTTGAATCTGAATTTGTTCAAGCTATTCGTGAAGGTTGGTGGGTTCTTCTTGATAATATTAATAGTGCACCAGCTGAAGTACTTGAACGATTAAATTCTTTAACAGAAGATAATCCAATATTATCATTATATGAAAATTCAAATGGACAAATTTTAACACAATCAAATGGAATTCATTCAAATTTTCGTCTTTTTACAACAGCTAATCTCAATAGAATCTATTCGAATAAATTATCATCAGCATTTCTTAATCGAGTTATTCGTATTTGTTTACCACCAATTGATCAATGGGATATGACAAATGAAAATGATCCAACAAAAAGTGATTTATTTGAATTAATTTCAATACAATTATCAACAATACCAGCTGGAAAACAATTGACACATTTATTAATATTAATGCATCTTAATGTTAAACAATATGTTAAAGATGGTCATTTAACTTATCCAAGTGATTTTCTTGTTACGTATCGTCTTCTTGAACAATGTATACGTACTTTACGATATTTAGTCGAACAAAATATTAATCCAGTTGATGCTTGTTATTGGTCTTTATTAAGATCTTATTGTTCATCATTACAAAATTCATCCGAATATCAATTTTATCTTAATCGACTTCAAGAAACAATAAAAGATCTTCAACTTTGTTCAAATTCAACAATTTATTCAACAGCAACAGATCAATTCGATCAAAAACAACCAATTTGGCTTCAACAAACACAAACAATTCGTTCACATTTTATTCAATTTGAACGATTTCTTATTGAATTAATTTTAACTATAATTCAATTACTTGCCAAAGATAGTCAATTAAATAAATTAACTCGTGATCTTTTAACATTATTTATTGATGATATTCTTCTACCAATGACACCTACAGATGCTTATCTAATTCAATTAAAACAAACATTAATCAATGAAAATGATAGTCAATTTGATTTATTAAAAACTTTACTTGAATTAATTGAAAATAAACAAATAACACTTCGTACAGATTTACAATATTCAATGAGTATTTCAAATTTTATTCAACAATTTCGAATAAATGAATCTTCATCATTTGAATCATTGTGTCATCAATTAAGTGAATTATTAGATCATTTTCTAAGTCAAACATCATTTAGTGATACTCATGAACGTTTATCCTTTATTCAACGAATAATTTCAATTATTGAAATATTTGATCAATTTTTTAGTTCATCAATATTTAATTTATTTGATCGAAAAACTCAACTTACAGATTTTTGTTCACATATAAATCAATATCTTCGATCATTATTATCATTTAAAGATAAATGTTCAATCTTTGAATTTTTTCATGATCCATCATTTCTTGATGCTAAACAACAATTTCGTATGCATATGTTTCATAATTTTGATAGTGGTCTTATTTTTTCATTTGAACATACACAAACATTACCAATTCGAACATCACGAAAAGATATTCGAAAACTTGTTGAATTTATTTTAAAAGATCAATCAAATATAAATCTTGTTGAACCAATAAAATATTTTTCAACACTCTTAGAATGGATTGGTCTTCGATGGACATTTGATGATTATTTATCATCAACTATTCGACAAGTTCTAAAGCAAAATGTTTGTATAACACATGATTTTATTATTGAATGTGAAATAAAATTTTCTTGTTGGGAATTATGTAAAACATTATCAACAATGATTGAACAAGTTGTTCGAGAATTACCTTCTGAATCAAGTATAATTAATAATGATTATTTACGATTGAAGAAAGGATTAGAAACTAAAGATAATGAAGTTAAACAATGTGAAGAAAGTCTTCAACAAATAATAAATCGTATTGCAATTATTTCAGAAGAAAATTCATCAACAAATAGATATTCAGTGATAAGAATGACAACAGGTATGAGACCGCCAATTGAACGTACCACATCTCTATACCAATCAGAAGATAATGATTTGCAAAGTCGAGCAGATGAACTTAGACAAGAATTGTCTCAACGACGAACTGAAAGAAATCAGCTGTTTGATCAATTAGTTCGAGTTGAACAAATTCGTACTACTACTATCGATAAAGTATTAGCCGCACGTTCAAAATTTCATGATGAAATGAAGAAAATACAAGAATCTGCTGCTTTTCAATATATTCGAAGTCGATTTGAACAATCTGATGCGAAACAATTGGATCGTTTTTTTCAAATTTTGATTGATGCTCCTAGAAATCCTAGTTTAATAAATATTGATGGTCAACTTGATCTTCATGCTGTACTTGCAACACCATTTGGACGTCAATTAATCGAACATGATGATATACTTGAAACACCTTTGATTCTTTTTCTCTGTGGACTTTTCATTTATCCTAATTTATATCAAGGACGTCGTTTACAAATTATCTCCAATTGGAAACAACTTCAAAATCAAATCAATATTCGTACATTGAATCCTTTTGATCTACTTATCTATTGTCCAAATAAAAATCCATTTGATTGTTGTCTAATTTCTATTGAAAATGGCTCTCATTCAATATTGATTCATATGTTTAGTTTACAACAAGATATTGTAACAAATGAATTGAATATGATTTTAAATGAAATTTTACCTGATGAAATCAAATATCAAATTGTACAAGAATATTTACCTCATATTGATGGAATTCTATCAGATAATGATCAACAAACATTTGGATTTGCCTGTCTTTTATATTTATATAAAAAAATAAATACATCAATGACAAATTCAATAAGTAATATCTACGATCAAATAATTATTATTTATGATCAACTTAAACAATTTGTTAAACATAATGCAATCGAAAGAAAACCATTGATAATTTTTATTTATCAACAATTTATTCGATTAGAAAATGAATTTGAAAATCTTCAAAAACCTAATCTTAATGATGATTTATGGATAACAATAATTCAATCAATGTGGACATTTATAAAACCTTATCAAGATTCATTTTCATCAGTTATTGTACAAAATATTTATCAAGAATTAAAATATTCAATTCAATCAATTCAACCACCTGATCTTAGTAGTTGTTTAACATCTTTAGCATTTATAAAATCTTTAACAACAAATTATAGTTGTGTTCATATGATTGACGAACATTTACTTAAAATTGGTAATTTAAATGATAATAGACGTGTTCAAGATTTTCAACTTCTATTTGATTTTATTAAAAAATCAATTCATCTTCTCAAATTAATCATTCAACATGTTACTTTTGGTGGTTATCAATTTCCAGATGAACTCTATAAATCTACACCAGATACAATTGGACATCTTGAAATGATCTTTCGTTCAACATTATCATTGATTGATATTGTTAATGGACATATAAAAGTTAGTGTCAAACAATCGAAACAACAATTTAAAGAATTTCAAGAGAAATTAGATCAATGTTTAACAAATCTTCATTTACCAACTTCTCTTCTCTCACGTTTTGGACTTATTAATTTTGTTACTTTTCTAGCACCATTATTTGATGAAAATCGAGAAGATCCTTTATTAATTAATTTAGAATCACATGAATCAAAGACAAATTCATTTACAAATATTGATCCAAAAGAATATCGAAGAAAAACAATGCAAAGTAAAATCGATGTAAAAATAACTAATATTAACAGTTTATTATCACGTGCCGGTCAATTACCACTTCGACCTCATTATATTATTCAACATATACATCAAACATTACATAAATTAAAAACATTTGATATTGATCAAGAAAGTGAAACAAGTTTTAATTGGCTTCTTTCTGAAGAACGAACGTTGACTGATTTACTTGAAAATTTTACACGTGAAATTAATCAATATACAATATTTCATGCTCCATTACCAAATGATCGACCTATTCATGAACTAAATGAAAGTGAAATTCAATTAAATTCATCTCATATAAAAATATCTAATCATCAATCGGATATAAAATCTTTTTGTGAAAATATTCATAATAGTAGTAAAATTCATCCATTCTTAGAAATGAGTCAAATTATTCGATTAACTCATGTACAAGTATCAAATCAAACATGGATACGAGCAATGTGTCTATTGACATCTAATCAAAAAGATCAGTTGAAAACAATTTTAATTACTCTCAATGATGATTTAACTATGCAACTTGAACGAAGTTCAAATAATATTGATAGTGATCGAACATTAACTGATAATATTGCTTTGGCTTATGCTCAATTTCGATGTGATCTATTAAATGAAGAAGCTAATCGTGATATGTTATCAAATTATATTTCTGTTGCTCATATTTCAACTGAACTTCATGAATGGACAAAAAAGGCAAATTTAAATGTATTTAATATGTTAGGAAACATTAAACGAATTCATGATGATTTAAATCTTGCACAAAATCAAATGAAAAATTTTCCATCAGATTCTAGTTGTAATCTTTTACCGGTTGATATAAGACCAGAAGATCTACTTTGTCTTCTTGCGCCAGAACATACTTCGATTATACAAATGATTTGTTCAAAATTCAATGATATCGAATTATTTCTCTCATGTCGTACTGATAAAGTTGAACCAATGCATTTATCAGCTACATTATCATCCTTAACAGTTACTCATGGTCTATCAAGCTATATTTATCGTCATCAAACATCGATGATATCTTTATTTGATCGTCAAAAACATATTCATTATATTGTCAATGCAACAGTTAATATCATTCAACAATTGATTGATTTATGTATTGATCCACAAATTCAAGAAAGTCTTCTAATGAAAATTTGTACAAGTGTTAAAGAATTATTTCCTATTCAAATGGCATTGGCGTTGATATTAATGATTTTAATCGATTGGGCAGCAACAAGTCTTGCTGATTTTAAAGAAAATCAACATTTATTAAAATTAACAACACTAAAAAATGATGAAATTGAATTATTAAATATAAAAACAAATCTTCATCAACTTGAACAAGAAGCAAATAAATTAGAACAAGATTTAAATAAACGTCGACGTGAACGAGAAGATGCTGAATTAGAACGTAATATAGCTACAATTGAAGATCATTTTCTTGTTGAAAATCTAGATAAAAAAGTAAATGAATGTTATCAACGTGAAGAATCTATTGGAAAAAGTATAAAGAAAAAACAAACTGAAATAACAATAGTTAAACAAAATCTTGAACAATTAACAAATTCATATAATCATCAATTAGAACAAAAACAACAACAATGGATGATTAATCTTCTAAATTATTTTGAAAAAATCTCTCAAATAATTAAAACATATATTATTAGTTTAGGAAAACGATCTGAATCAAATATTTCAATAACGACTGATCTTAATACTCTTCTCAAAATTCCAGTATCAATTGCTTATCGAAGCTTACTTGAAATAACAATAACTTTTATTGATGATAGTCAAATTGATAGTTTACAAATATTCATATCTGAAATATTAAATGATGTTCGATCTCATTCAATGTCTTTAGCTGAAACTGATCCTATGCATTTATTTATTTCATTCTATTGTGATGTGATAAATATTTCACTATCATCATTGAAGAATTCATCAAAAAGTTGGAAATATTATTCTAAAATACTTGAAACATCTCAAATGAAATTTTATAGTGAAAATAAAAAAAAACAAAATTTATGTCAATTAAATTTATCTATACGAGAACAATGTTCTTTATTTCTTAATCAAATTCGAACAGGATATGAACAAAATGATATTATAAAAAATGCTCAAATTATAAGTAAATATGTACGTAGTGAAGTAATAAAATTTGATACTTTAATGGCTAATGAACAAAATAAACAAGTTCAACATTTAATTCGAGAATTTGAACGATTTGTTATCTATTTACTTGTTGCTGGTTGTCATTATTTACAATTACAACGTGGAATACGTGAATCAATTGATGATATTTTAATAGGTATAACAACAGAAACAATTGATTTATCACAATTTCCACGTACAGAAATTGATCTACTTAATTTATTAGATCGATATGAAATACAATTAAAAAGTCATAGTGATACACTTTTATTTCTTCCATTACATCTTTGTTTTGCATTCAATTCAAATCCATTTAATCTTTTTGATCAAATTGAACGTTCACTTCAAATTTTAATACAATTTATTTTACCATCTGTTTTTCTAATTGAACGTACATGGTCAACAATTGATAAATTACTTGAAAAAATTTCTCAAAATCTAACTGATAATGAATATCTTATTCTCAATGATCTATGTAATAAATTCTTATATTTAACAAATGAATCATGTATAATAAATGATCAAGGTGATTTTGTATCTAAACAACTTCAAACAAATTTATTTGAATGTTTATCAAAATTAATTAATAATTTATGTGATGAATTATTAAAAAATCGATTAAATATGAAATTATTTTGTGATGATCTTAATCAACGATGGCATTTAACAATGAAAGAAATGTTTCGTGGATTTATTAAAACACAAAAATTTCATATTCATCGACAACTTACATGGAATCAACGTAAAGTTAAACAAATAAATAGTTCATTATTTTCATCTGAAATCAATGATACACTTCGATTAGCAGATATTGAAAAAATTCTTCAACGAAAAAATACCATTCTTCAATCGATTAATTTAAATCAACGTTCAAAATATTTAATGAATCTTTATTATCTTCAAACTATTTATCAATTGACAATTGGTGGTATTGATAATTTAGAATTAATCATTATGAATATGCCAATGGAAAATATGGATTATGATCTTTATTTTAAATTACTTTATTCAACACGTGATATCTATAATTTAAGTGAAAAATTACTTCTTGAACAACCTCTTATGAATTTTATTCATCATAATCAACAGATTGAATTGGCTTTTAAATTACTTGAAAATATATATCGACAAGAATATAGAATTTTTCAAGATTTTTATATTGTATCCAAAGAACAAGTAGAAAATAGTTCTAATGATTTATGGAGTTCAATTGATTTTCATTCACTTGTCAAACAAGTAACAGAAGCTAATGAACAATGGATCAATGCTGGAAAAGATTTTATACAATTACGTCGAAAAGTTCGAACAAACGATGAAGCTCTTATCAAAAAAGTCAAACGAAAATTAATGAATTTTGGACGAAGTTTAATTTCGATTTTTTCATCCAATACTTATAATGATTTTGATGAATGTTTTGCTGTGTTACTTCAAGACATTCTCTTATATATGCAATCACAACAACATGGTATACATGGAATTTTTACTATGGCAGATCAAGGTGAATTAAATAAAATAATTGATCTACATAAAAGATATCAATCATCACATAATCTTGCACTGTTGAATAAAGAATTATTTCCAACATCTGAAAATATATTTCTTTTACAAATCGAACGTTTAAACAAATATTTGAAGGAAATTTATATTTCGTTTTGGAATTCAAATAAAGAAAAATCTCCATGTCTTACTTTAACCATCTCATTAAACAATGCATTGACAAAGATTTGTATTGTTCTTAGAACACAAATAACACATTTAGCCATTCATAACTTTGATATTAGTGGCATGAAAATGAGATGGTCAACACTTGTTGATAATCAAATACCATATCATATAATAAATAATTTGAAATTAACATGTCAACCAATTTATCAAAAATATTGCTTTACAGTAAATGGCGTTGCAAGTGATTTGAACATATCAACCATTCCATCAATTGGTGATTTACAAAATAGTTTACGTGAATTAGAAGAACAACTCATTGTTCAAAATCAACAACATAAAGAAGAAGAAGAATTTCAATCATCACCTATTACTCGAGCAATTCAAACATTGACTAATCATATGAAAGAAATTCTTCCGATGATAAATTGTCCAAAACTAAGTCCAAATGATTTATCAACTCCTTCGAATATCTATCATCTATTCATGCAATTACCACAAGTTGATGTACTAAAGAAAATCTTCGATCTATTAGATATCAAGGAATTTGCATCGATTTCACCATTAATACAATTCGTTCATGATGACGATCCAGCAATAAGACTTTATTTTCAGTCTGTACAAACTTATTCAATGGAAGCAGCTTTTAGTTCAAGTCGACAATGTCTATTAGATGCTAAAGCTCAATTACAACATTTCATCAATAATTTACACTTGAATCGAGTACATCTGGTTCTAACTTATGCATGGACTAATGCTCTTTCGACTCATGGATCTTCGGATACTCAACAAGAATTTTCTACTATGTTGAATGAATGTACACAGTTGAGTCAAATACCAATGGAAAACAATCAAGAAAATGTTCAACATTTGAATGAATGTCGACGAGTATTGAAAGATGCACAACGTATCTTTCGAACAATTAAACGAACAACAAATAATTGGATTGAAATCAAACGTCTCATAAGTTTATCATCGTTAACTATTGAGGATAATTTCACTATGGCATTTATTCATTCAGAAATGAGTCGTGATGCTCATTTATGGTTGATTGAAACAATGTATAATGATGATATATCAACTAGTCTAACATGTCATCCAAAAAAGGCTATCCTTGATTTTGGTAGTACACTCAGTGGTATTCATCAACGATTGACTCAACGTATATTTATTCATAATCATACTGATCGAGATTTGAACTTACGAGTTGATCGAACTATTACGGATGATACTGCATTCGATGTGACGAATGAAAATGTACAAGTTAATGCTGGTCATATGTGTGAATTTGAAATATTCTTAAGACCACCGGCAACGATTGGCTCATTCAATGAAAATTGGAATCTTCTTATCGATAATACAATTACTCTTTCGAATGTCATTCAAACTCAAATTCAAATTGTCGAGATCGATGTCGAAAAATCAGCTGATACCATTGATTTTGGTTTTGTAGCCTGTAGTAATAATCGAATCGAGAAAACAATCGATCTGAAAAATGTTCTAACATGTCCTGTATGTATAAAATCACAATTACAAGCAACTGAAATCAATCAACGACAATCTCACTTGCTTATTCTCAACAATGAATTTGATTTACCAGCTAATTCAATTTTACCTTTTGGTATCGCACTTGAACCAACAGATAACATCGAAGAAGATATCGATGCAGATGTTTGTCTGGCGATCAATTCAGCTAAAAATCTCAAATGGATAAAAGTATTTGCACATGTTCGACGTTTACATCTCGCAGTCATCTATCAAGGACGTACTTATATTGAAAAAAATTCGTTAGATCGTGTCTTGATTGATGATTTCTATAAGGGTGAGAAACGTATTATTTCTACTGAGTTTCGAAATGATGGACCAATCGAATATACACTTCGTCTTTCCTCAACTAAGCTCATTCTTACAATGCCTGAAGTCAATCTACCTGTAAACACGATGAAAACAGTTCCAATTGAAATACAAATGTCTACAAATCCTCATCAAGAATTTGTACTCTTCATTGATTTTGTTAATAATAAACGTCAATGTCAATTAACATTTGACTGTCAAACAGCTGAAGCTAAATTGACTTATTCAACACGCACAACTGATATTAAGAAAATTATTACAATTGCACAATCGGTTCAAATGCAACAAATCTGGAATGCAGATCGTCATCAATTACTACCTATTGAACATGAAATTACATTCATGAATGCGAGCAAAGCTGCTGCTACTTTGAGCTACAGACGCATTGTATCAGCACAAGATCCTCGAACGCCTTTGGGATCACAATTTCATATTGAACCTGATAATCTTATCATTCCACCACAATCGAAAGTACCTGTTCGCTTTCTTTACCATCCCGTTGATTTAGGAAAGTTCGATGTTCAAGTAGAAGTACAAACAAATACTTCCATCGATTCGATTAGTATTCCGTATTATGTTGAATTTCAAACACCGATCTTACAAACGATACCACGAACTGTAATCGATATTGGATTAATACAAACTGGAAAGATCTTCAAAGAAAACATGGTGATCATAAAAAACATTGGACAAAGAGAACTTCGCTTTGTCATATCGGATCCTATTCGACCAAAACCATTTGTCAAAGTAGTCGCTCTACAAGAATCATCAACTATTTCAACACCTTCATCGATTAATCAAACCCTACGAGTCAATCCCAATCAACAACGTATATTTAGTATTATGATCGAATGTGATGTAATTGACAATAGATCCATATCAGAGATAATTGGACTTGTCGAATTTGAACTAATAAGTATATGTGATCCAGTAATCGATATCAATGGGACACTAGTCAATCGCACTGTAACGATAGTTGTCGTTGGGCATACGTTACCATTACGTGACTTTGCCTTACCGAAAGATCTCAATCCAAATTTATGGTGCAAACTTCAACTGTTGCCTTCATCGTGGTTGTATCAACTCTGTCGAGAATATACAGTTCATAGTTCTTATACTTCATTAGTGGCGCTCACAGCCATTGCTCATGTCTGCGGATCACAAAATACGAAAGATTCATTACCAAAGACCAAGGATGAATGGTCTATGTTCTGCATGCATCTCCCTCGTGATAGACAACGAACCAATAAGGATTTGCTTACACTTGATTTATTCAGTGATGAAACTACTGTGAACACAGCCATTGACACATTAGTCTCACTACTTCGATCTTCATTTACAAATTATCGATCATTCTTTTATCATTCGAGTTTATTTCATCGTTCGTTTTCAAATAATGAATCTATTCGATTACAACTATTTGCTGTAATAAATTCTGCAGCAAATATCGATGAAGCTTATGCAATGCAGAGCTATTCAGCAAAACTATGGAATATCTACGAGAAGTGTTCATCTGATGATGCTTTTCGACAAGCCATCGAGTTCGTACATCAATGTATTAGTAATGATTGTGCTATACCAGAAAGTATCCGTATTTTTACCAAATTCATCCATCAGATAGTTCAACCTTCAACAACAGTCGATGTTGCACAACACTTGTTGACTGTGATTCCATCCAAGAGTTCTTTTGGTGAATTGATGATGATATCAACCAATCCATCAGATCTTAAATTAGCTTTATTCTTTGCACATTTTAATGATCATGTAAAAGAAATAATAATCAAATTGATCAAAAATGATTGGCAAGCGTTACTTGATCTACATTTGATGTTGATCGAACAACAAAATCCTATATCAGTACAACGATCACTACTTGAAGCAGTTAAAAGTATGCATACTTTATGGAACTCATTGAATATCAATATAAAATCTGATTTACTTGGATCACTCTTCACTGATTACACACAGTTTATTCCAATTCTTAAACAAGCATCGAACAAGCAACGAGTTCAATTAAACGATCTGTTGACAATAACAGAAATAATTTTTAAACGCTTTGAACCATCACAAACATTTTACTTGATTCGAAATGTTTTCAAAGAGACCTATTATTACGGAATCTCTCAAGCACTAAATTCTTTTTCTTATCTGCCTTATCCACCATCTAGCCATCTTGTTTCACAAATTCTTGAATTTCGACGAACACTAATTGGTGATGTGAGAAATCCTATGATTCATACAGAAAATAACGAGACATTCTGCGATATACTTCGTCAACTTGTTTTAGTCACTGCCTCTCAATGGACTTTCATCAAGAAATCCATCAACGTTGCCTATCATCTACTTTGTGATATAGGTGATAAACATATAACTCTGGTATCTGTTATTGCTCAAGTTCTTTCTCTTCTCGATACTCTCAATCCTGGTAAAAATTGGTATAATATCAGACAATCGTACATGCATCTCTGTTCGACACCAACATGGGAAACAATGCTCAAATTCATTGATGTTCTTGACTGTCATCAAGAAGCTGTTCATCTTACACAAGCTTTGACTGATGCCGCTACAGAAGAAACAATGGCTGAAACGATCTTAAAACTTTGTCGTCTTGTTTCAACAAATGACGAACTAAAGTCACTTAATGCACATGAACCTTCGATTCGTCAACTTTCATCGAACATATTACCATCATCATCAACTGATTTCTTCGAACGAATTCAGTCTCTTACTCCACCAGTAATGCAACAGAAGATGCATGCTTACCTAACTTTACTGCGCTTATCATCTCATTCAATACTAGACGAAGAAAGTCAACATCTTCTATTCGATAATATTGTTGCATCATGGTTGACATTGTTCGATATTAATTGTGCCAAATCTCTTCGATTTTTCAGTGTTATATCGTCTATTTTGACATCATTTCTCGGTCTGGTGTCTACTAGAGACATTGCCTTTAGTCAACAACTCTATACGACGAGTCTAGCATCAGCACTTTGCATTCTTGCAAATTGTCGTCAAAATACTCGTGAAATATTCACCATCAATTCATCAATTGGATCTACAATCAATTCTTCATCTATTATCACAGCTATTCGTGAAAGTCTTACCAAACGTATTTATGTTCATCGAATTCCATCATCGAACACTGATCAGACAATATCTGCTTCATCCTCAGTACCACAAACAGTACTCACTAGAATGACATCAATCGAATGTCCTTATTCTGATGAGACACTAACAAAAATGGAAATATCAGTATTGAATTATAGTAAAAATCTTTCTCAATCATCGATTGTCTTTGTTGAATCTGATACTGTTCGTGATATTGTCGATGCAGCACTTGTCACTCGAACACAGGTTACTCAGTGGTATGCAAATTTTATCACTTTCAATGTACTTGTGCACTATCGATCGAATTCAAATGACTTAAATCAAATCAAAGTAGGTCATGATATTATTCAATATGGTCTTCAACTACTTCGTCATCTTTTTATTGCAAGAAAAATTCTTGAACCTACTTTTGCTCATGTTGGTGTTCGATTTTTGATGAAAGAATTAATACAAATAGAAAAATGTTTACTTTCGTTAGCTCTTGAAAAGTATCCAATGATGCTAAAGGCTCTACGTCAATTGAATGTTGATGTCAGTCGAATTAAAGTTGACTTCAAACCTCCTTCAAATTCCATTGCTCCAAAAGGTCGATCTTCGAATAAATCGAAATTTGATATTCTTCCACAAATAAATACTGCTCCAGAATTTATAGGACCGACAAGTGGATCTGTACCTGTAATCAATAATAACGATGATGCACCAATAACATTCGATGATTGGGAAAGTGCAATACGAACAAGCAATAATGAACAGTTACAAGATACTTTGAAATTAGCAAAGAAAAAACAAGAAAAAAAATTAAAAACAAAGAAAAAACAACTTGTCAATTCAAACTTTCAAACAAATGTTCAAAATTTAGCAACTGGAATGTTGGATCAAAATACGAACAAAACAGAAGTTACTTCTATAAGTAGTGGAACAACTCAGAGTGATATATCTCCAGTCGATATGAGTTTAAATCAAGAGATTAGTATTGATCTACAAATGAAAGCCATGCATGAACATTTGCAAAAGCAACCAAATCTGATTGAAATGTATGAAAAAGCCGATTCTAAAGTTGCTTCAACTGTACCCGATGGAAAACTTGATAATCGCTCTGTTCTAAAGCCATCAGAGCAGCATCAACAATGGACTTATCAATTACTTGTTGAAGTACCAGCCATTTCACGAATGATTGATCTCATCGTGCAAGAATTTCGTTCTCATTGGGAAAAACTTGATCTTCTTGATGAACATGAAATTCGCTGGTGTATCATGATCGATAATTCAGGTTCAATGAGTATTCATCGAAATGCCATTTATGAAGCTCTTGTTATTATCATGGAGTTATTACGTAAACTTGAAAGGAAATTTGCTGTTGCTCGATTCGGTACACGAACAAATCAAAAAATTTTGAAAAATCTCAATGATCTTTTTACTAATCAAGATGGACAATATGTTCTTGAAGCATTAACCTTCGACGAAGGAACATATCCTGCAACAGGATTAGCACGTATTGCTGATCGTGTCTTTCCAGTTGTAGAATCAGAACAATCATCAACTACAATTGTGCATCGTCTTGTTCTCATGATCACCGATGGTTTAACACAAGAACGAGATGATGCTAGTTATTCTCGTACGATTACAAAACATAAAATCAATCTTGGTTTTATGTTCATCGAAACAGTCGATCAGAATAGCAGTCAAGTTCTACTTAAAGGTTTAACACAAGCACAAAGTTGTATTCTCAAAGCAAACAATATTACTGAACTTCCTCTCAAAGTACCTCAACTTATGCATGAAATGATCAAAGCTTGTCTAACAAAAACATCTTCATCATCATTATTAGAACAAACTATGAAAGAATTACCAACGATAAATATCAGAGTACCAACTATCAATGACGTTACATTTGTTCAAGATGTTGCTAATGAAAAACAATCCTATATTGCAGCCAATCCAACTTCATACACAATTAGTAGTCCAATAGCCAACATTCCAAAATTAGCTCAAGTAAGTGACTCGATTTATTGAAGTCAAATAGTTTGTTCGACATAATATACTCTATAAAGATTTCGTGATCCTTTCTTTTTAATCATTCTGATGTTCAGATAGAATTTAATCTATTGATTTCTTATCTTTTGTTTAGATTCGATCACAATTAACAAGTTATTTATCACGTTCAAATGAATACACTGATTATGCATCTCATGCCGTTGATTTACTTCGTCAATATTATCATACACTTAAAGTCACATCTACTATGCAAGATATAGAAAAGAAATGGATCGGTGATGAATATCGTTTTTCAGGTTTGATCGATGATCTATCGACTGTTCTTGGTGATCTTGTCTTTCCACTTAATAAATTTACACGTCGTCGAGCAGCATTACGTGGTTCATCATTGTATTTACCTGGTCTAATCAAAGCAATGACTACTGAATGGAATTATAAGAAAATTTTCAGTGCCAAATTAGCAGGTGGTAAACGAGATCATGCAATGTGCCTTGTCATTGATGTGTCAACTTCTATGTTCGGTACACTTAGTATTGGTACAATAGATACAATTGTTATACTTATTGCTGCTCTGCGTAAACTCAGTCTAGAGAATTTTGGTATCATAGTTTTTGGTGAAAATGTTCGTTTGATTAAGACTAGTGAACAAGCCTGGGATACTACATGTATTTACACATTGATTCAACAGTTACGTTTTGATCGAGATGATGATACTAAAGATGCAGATGCTATCGAAGCTGCCATCGATCTTCTGGATCACTGTTCAGTTCGAGGTGAGAAGAGAATCTTTATTTTGACCGATGGTTATAGTAACTGTGGAAGTCGACTATCGATCGTACAACAACGGGCTGAAGATCATGGTATTGATCTGCTTGCTATGGCGATTGGTATCGATCAAACCAACCTTAAATCAGTCTACAAACGTTATTTACAATGTGCTACACCATACGGATTACCAAAAGCGTTGCGAGCTCTCTTCGAAAATGAAACTCAATTATTTTCATTAGAATGGCCACCAAATATAAACACGGATAGTAACAAAACTGATGATTCTATTAGTACAATAGATAATCTCTTTGATGATATCAAATCGAAGAAGATTTTTAGAGAATTGATTCAAGATTTAGCTGGCCAACGCGATTTGATGTTAATCAACAGTGGTCAGCCACCATCAAATATGACTGTTGATATCTGTTTCTGTCTCGATTGTACTGGAAGTATGTCACGATGGATATCGGCAGCTAAAGATCAAATGAAAAGTATCATAGAAGGTATCACTAAATTGATTGAAAAAGAATATCCATCACTCAAACTACAATTACGTTTTGCTATCGTTGGTTATCGTGATATTGGTGATCAACCACAATTTTTCACTCAAGATTTCACTGATGATACTAATCAAGTAATTAATTTTCTTAATACGTTAATAGCAAATGGTGGCGGTGATATACCTGAAGATGTACTTAGTGCACTTGATCGTTGTTTAACTTTGACAAATTGGAGTAATACTAATGCTCGTTTTATTGTTCTCATCACTGATGCACCTGGCCATGGACCAGAACTAAATGATAATCTCAACATCGATCGACATCCTCAAGTAAGAGATCTAACCGTCATGTTTGTTTTTTACTTAAATCATCTTTTAAGATTGAAATGTAAACAGTTCGAAGGAAAAATCCAATGAGATTCATTATTGTATTACTTATTCTATAGCCCCTCCAAAAAGTCAGTACGTGGGAGTATATTTTGAATAATTCTAGGATAGAAAGTGATAGAGACCTGCGGTCTTCACCATTCGAAAGAACATTATCAGTAGCATCTATCTATCTAAGGCAAATTAAGTCGAAAGTATTAGTTCATGCCTTTTCTTTTCAAGGGACATTTTTTGTTGAGATTTTTTTCATTTAATTTTCTAAATTTTTCAATTCAAATTATACAAAAAACCAACTCAAAACCACGCTATATTCCAACATAAATCATCATATTCCGAAGGAATCTCGTTGGAAGAAAAATATCAAAATAACCCATTATAATTTTATCACGAATATGAAGCGATTATAGCTTGAGTTTTGTATAATTTGAGTTGAAAAATTTTGAAAATTGAATTAAAAAAAAACAGCAACGATAAAATATCAGTTGAAAAGAAAAGTATAAACAAATACTTTTAATTTAATGTGTCTTAAGTACATAGATGCTATTGATAATACTTTTTCAAATAGTGAAAATCGTAGGTCATTATCACTTTCTATTCCTGAGTTATTCAAAAAATAGTCATATGCATCGACTTTTGGAATGGACTATAGTTCATATTTGATAATAAGACTCGATTACTGTTTTTAGTACAATAGAAAAGTGATTTATCTGATTTTCTATTTTTAGGGAACTAGTATACATACAGTGAAAAGTATTTGTGATCGTCTTTTAAAAAAAGATGCAGAAATCGATCTCATGTTTTGTCAAATAAAACCAAAAGCAACTGCTAAAATGGAAAAAGCATTTCAAACTCATTATGATGCTCAAAAGGATGAAACAGGCAAAGTATTCACTACAATTCAGTTATTCGATGATAAACAACAAGAAACACAATCGTTTCATTTCGTCTTTGTACTTGATGAATCAGGTTCGATGGCCGGTGAATGGAATTCTTTGCAATCTGCTTATGGTGCATTTTTGACACGACGTAATGATGATCAAGGTGGAGATGATCATTTTAGTGTTATTCAATTCGAATCTAATGCACGAATTATTTGTCAACAACAAAGTCTGTCAAATACACCTCGTTTTCTATCTATGAATGGTGGTGGTACAGACTATTGTCAAGGTTTAAATAAAGCCAATCAAGCAATTGCTGCTGATCATACAGCCTCATCGGTCGTGATGATTTTCATGTCAGACGGTGCTGATGGGAGTAGAGGAGATCCTGTAGCACTCATACGTCAATTTAAACAGAATTATGGAACCAATCATAAATTTGTTTGTCACACAGTTGGTTTTGGATCTGGAATTGCTCGAGGAAGCAAAGAAGCACAATTACTTCAAAACATGGCTTCAGATGGTGGTGGTCGAGCCTATTCAGCACTGACCGGTGCTGAACTTCAGACTGTATTCAATCATATTGCTGCGAACAGTACAACGAGTGATGCACTTGTCGAACGTTTCTCGGCTATCTTAGCACAAAATATAAGCATCAAAATTATGGTCGATTATCTTTGAACTTTTCATCTTTATATATCTATTAAACACTATCAATAGTTGGATTTACTTGAACAGTAGATTTCTATATTATGGCTCTTTTTTTCCTTATCTTTAATAAACTAGAACTTTATAATTTGAACTTAATTAATTCATATTCACTGACGATTGTCGCACTATTATGAGAATTTTCAACAGACAAATATGAATATTAAACAGTGAAAAATCGCTAAATCATCAATAAAGAAGTAATCTTCTTTGATATTGACCTCACGTTCTGTTTGACACATCTATTTCGAATGATTCATAATAAATATCGGAATCTTGAGTCGTATAGAAGATAATAGTGGAACTTAATGTTTTTATTTTTAATTTTCTCTATCTATCATTTAAAATTTTATTCAGTAACGTAACGTTACATCAATGATGTTAACTTTATGAAACTATTTCTAGTTATAAAATAACAAGTACAATTTAATAAAAAACAAATATTTTCTCTCTCTTCTCTATTGATATTGAAACGAACAAGACAATGATACTGGACAGAGCATTGTCTTTGAATTTTTCTTTCTTTATTCTCATATCATTAGAATCGAGAGTATATGTATGTGTGCTTTTTTTTTGTAACTTGTACTTATTCTTTTATACCTAAACAGTTTGATGAAATCAACATCGCTAACGAAACATAATTGAATAAAGTTTCAAAGGTAAGGAAGAGAGAATCAAAAATCAAAACATTATATTTCACAATAATTATTTTCTTCGTAAGTCAATATTTCAAAATCTTCTACGAAGAGTGAACACAAGTCATTATCACAAGGTTAGGATACATACTAGGTCAAAAAGAAGTAAAAATAAAACATCAGAAAGTAACATTAAACTACAAAAAGAGTAACTGAAACCATGTAATAAGTAGATATGTAAACAAAAATAAATATCATATATGGTTAAAAACTTAAAAATAAATCTGACAGAAGAAGGATGTGAATATAAACGAATACAATAGTTACATACACAGCCACACTCACCTTCGTCTCCCTTTCGATAAGTCGCCAGATATTGCTAGCAGAGTTGATCATGAAAACATTTGATAGAACATAGTCAAATCTATATGAAATCATGCTTTATTTGTTTTGTTAATTCAAAAGTTATTGTAGAAATTTGAAATCGATTTTCGACTACATTTCTCAATAGATTGAAATTCATATGTCATATAGTTAATATTCTTTGAGACATTTATCTCAGGAAAAAAAACATTCTTCTTAATAGAAGTCAAAATGAAACTTTTAACATATTCAAAAAAAAAATTTCAGACTTTTGTTTTTGATGAGTGATTAATAACATAGAAATCAATCGTAAATTGAAATATTCATTTAAAAAATGGCTTCGAAGTTTTCCAAGTTTTGAAGGATTCTACGGACTTATTTAATATCATATGAGAAGCAAATATGAAAGCATAGACTAGATAACTTTATAATTCTAGCTAAAAAACAAACGAATATTTTTCCTGGTACAATGTTGAACACAAAAAAAAAACGTTGTTTTAGGCTTTATAAGAATTTGAAATGACATGGATCACGAGAAATGTCTTATAAATAATATGACACAGAAAATGATTTACTTGAAATCAAGCAATAATTTAATGTATTCGAAAATGAAAATAGGTTATCAATAAAAAACAATACATCAAAATAGATGATTTTTCTTTTGATTGTCATTTCCTTTTTACTCTGGTTTAAATATGGAAAATCAATCAAATTCTATGGTTATAATTATGCAATTGTTGATTAAAAGTGTCATTTTTTATTTATTGATGGATTTGTTGATGATCTTACTGGCGTTGATGTATTTGAAAATGTAGTATTTGCTTTTTTGAAATTCTCTAAAAATTTATTAATTTTAGTTAAGGCAGCTTGATTTTTCTTGAAATGTTCTTGAACAATCTCTATTTGATTGGAAGCATTACCACATTGTTCTTTGAGTTCTTCTGGCAAACCACACAAACCAACTCGACATGGTCCATCAACTCCAAATACACCGAGACAACAAGCCCAAATTAATTGTGGTGGTGGTTCAGATGATGCATGTTGTTGACGAAGTTTTGCTTTTTGTAATTTACTTTGAGCTTCGTCCATGCTTAGTGCATTATTTCCTTCGAGATCATAAATGAATCCATCATGATAACGACAATTTCCATAGTTAGTCTTCGATGGAATATAATTTTGTTGACATTTAGGACAGACTTTTTCAGTTTCATCATCAATTCGTTTCTTTTTATTATCTTCTTCTTTCTGTAATTGTTCTGCAGTTTCTTTGAATTCGATATCATCGATGATCAATTGTCGTAAAAGTGGATGTTTAACAATGATGACAATCCATTTTTCTTTCACCATCTTAATATCCTAATGCGATATAAATTATGATCAATAAAAGATTAACACTATAAATTAGATTATATAACCTTATCTGAAGAGATTTGTTGAACAATGGCTGTCTTACATTTTTCACGAATGAATTGATATAAACGAATATTAGAAATTGATTCTGATTTAGACATTTCCGAATCAGATACAGTAAGCATAATCAAAGAATCAATATCGAAAATGAGCATTGATCGATTATATTCATTACATTCTAGAGAAAGAGAAGATCTGATTATAATTAAAATCTCATAAATAGCAGAGTTAACTAACCAAGAAATGTAGTAGTTAGTAGTTCGAATATTTGATTTTCATCGAAAGCATTTTGTTTAGTAAGAAAATTTAAATCAATTATTTGAATAGTGTCGATATTTCGAGTTGAGCAACCATGAACAAATCGTGCAATAAGTGTTAACATCGATGTTTCATTGTCTTGAAGTTCTTTTTCAAGTGTTGGCTCATTTGTAAGTTCGATAAGACATTTTCGTTCTCGCAAATCAACCATAATACGTCCTGACGGTAAAAGTTGAGATAATGTCAATGAATACTCTTCATAATTCTGATCACGTTGAGAGTTGAACAAATTTGGATACATGCGACATATTTCTGGTAATGTTCCAACACCAAACCAACAGTTGAACTCACGTGCTACATTATCAGCTAATTCAAGTAATACAACGTCAGGTAATGTATCCGAATTTTTACCATCCAACGCAACAATAATGCTTGATCGAAGTGCAGCAACAGCCGCGCCACTAAAGTTCGTAGTTACTTTGACAAGAAAATCCAATTGTTTATTAGTGAATAAATTTGAACCTTTAGACAAGAGTGGTCGCAACATTTTCTTACGAATCTGTGGTGATGGTCGACCAACAAAACATTTTGCTTGCATACGACGAAGAAATGCTTCATCCATCATGTTTCGCCGATTAGTAGCACCGAGTACAATCAAATTTGGGATATTCTTTACACCTTCAATATGAGATAAAAGGACACTTATACCATCGACTTTTGATTGTTGTGCATTGTTATCACGTTTAGGTACGAGACCATCGATTTCATCGATTGTCATAGCACATATTAAATATAGAATAGTATCTGCACGAGACATAATATCAATGAGAAGTTTTTCAGTTTCACCAACATACGGTCGATTAAGTTCACCAGCTGCTAAAGGATTTGTAGTCATAGTAATACCAGCAAAGATGGCTGCTTGTTTCAACAATTCTGATTTGCCTACAAAATGAAAATATGATTCTAATTATGATATTAAAGAGTTGAATAAACCTGTCCCTGGTGGACCATACAGAAGCAGACCACGACCGAATTTGACATTTAATTTTCGTTGTTCATTAGCAAGATTGAGTTCAAGCAACTCTTTCAATGCTTCAATCTTCTTTTCATCATGATCGAGTTCGGTTGCTGCTAACAAATAACGATGTTTTGCTTGCTCGTGTACATGACGTTTGTCAATCAAATCTTTTTGAGCACCTTGTTTCTTTTTTTGATATTCGTTCAATTTGAGTTTGGCTTCTTCTCGTTTCTCGATCCAATTCATATTTTGAAAATTCTTTAAAGCTATCTTTTGTGCTTCATCCATCATTTTTTGAACTTCAGTTTCCACGTTTTTCTCTGCTTGTAGTATATTGAACAAGCGTTTCTCGTATAAAACTGTATCTCGCTCAGCTGCTAGTAATTGATTGTGTAGCTGTTTAACATTGATTTCTAATTTACTTCTATTTTCTTCGAGTGATTTGAGTTCTTTCATCCATCCTTCTCGTTGTTTGTTCCTGTCTTCTTCAGTAGCTGTTGTATTTTGCAAGCAAAATGTTCGTAAATAATTATGTATATTGATAAGAACATTTCCATCATCATCATATGTTTGTCGAATTTCTTCAATGGCTAAATTTACAGCATTTCGATCGAGATAAGGAACATGCTGAATTTGTCCCGTACTGTGATAAAAATAGCGACGAACTCGATGAATATCACCTAATAAAGTGGCCTTCGATTCTTTGTAAGGATCAGTCACTTGAGATGAATTTTTTGAAACAACATTCAATTGAACATAGTCACGAATCATTTGCTTAACTAAAACTCGAACAGTAATTTTTTCCCAAATAGTCTCATTGGCTACAGCACCACGTAAATGTTCAATAGTACCAATGTTCTCGTCTGAAATTAAAACAAAGGTCATACTTATTTGATAACTACTCAGAAAATTTATATATTATTCTTCAATCTTTTTATAATCTGTTCCAAAGGTTTTCAATTCATAACTTTATTTATGTAAAGATAATAGTCATTAGATTTTCAATACAAAGCTAAACGTCTAAATATATTATTTTTATAAAGAATCGATTCACTTGTTATCAGCGAAAGTACAACAAACTACTTGCCTTTTAAAGCTTTTTCCCAAATAGTGGCATCGCTCTCATCGCACTTATTTTGTTGGCAAATCTTTTTTAACAAACCAAGAAGAGTAACATCATCTTGAGAATTCGTTGTTGATTGCTCTTGATTATCAATAGAACTATGAGATCGATCATAACATGGTGTTACTTTAATTTGTACTGTAGTTGTCGAAGTCGATTTCCACAGTTTCGGAAATTGACCATTGTTCATCGAACATTCATATTCAAGTTCTAGAAGATCGAGAAGATATTTGAAGTTCCATGGTCCATACATATCATTCTTTCGAACGAAAAGATTCGGTCGATATGTTGTCCGTACTGTTTGATTACTCATATCGATTGGAATACATGTAGATTTAAGTGCATAAAGATGCAGAATTGAAACACGTTTTCCATTTATTTGCATAAGATCATTCAGTTGTTGGAGTTCATCGACAAACTTATGTAATTCTGGATAGTTAAATTTCACCTTGAGATTGACAATAAGATCATGAATATCGGATACTTCAACAGGTGATATTGCGTTCGATGATGAAACCGGATTGATAGATGGAGCAGTTGATGGGACGGTGGAGTAATCAAAGCGTGCAAAACTAAAAGAATTATTTTCACTCATTTCGAGAAGAAAAAGATCGATCTAGAATGAGAAAACTGTTTGAAAAGGAATGATTGGTTTATTGTTTTTCTAGGATAATAATAAAATGGATGCTAAAACATGGTTACAATAAATGATAGCAAGAAATATCAATAGGTTTTTATCAGTATTAAGATAATGGTTGTTTCTTCTTTAAATCGATCGTCGTCGCTGTAGGATTCACATTGATGTTGCGTACTTTTTGAGTGATACCTTTCGCTCGTAGATCATTGGTGATAATATCATTGGCTTTGAGTTGTAGTTTTGTTTGTTCGTCGGTATGATATTGTTTGAGTTCAGTAATAGTCTGTTCGAGTTTTTCCAGCCGTTCATAATTAGCAGCACGAAGATCTTCGTTTTGAGTGAATTTCTCTTGTTGACGACGAAATTGATTAGTTGTTTCTCGAAAGACACGATCTTGTTGTTCGATTTTCTCAGTTTTTTGTCGAACTTGAGCATCAACATTATTTAGTGTATTTTTTGATGTTGTAATCGTTTGTTGACTACGTTCCTGTTGTTGTTTGACAGATCGAAGTTGTTCAGCGACTTGATTGATACTATTTTGATTAGTAGTCAATTGTTCAGTCTTCGATTGAAGTTTCGTTTCCACAGTTTTGATCTCGCTGTGAAGTTGTTGATCGCGATTCTTGAGTATATCAAATTTTTGACGAACACTTTGTACTTTAAGATCTTGTTTTTGTACTTGTTCGCGAGCCTGACGTTGAGCAAGTTCACAATGTCTCAATTCCTGACTCTTAGCTTTTTGTTGTTGATCGAGATTTTTCTTTTGATTTTGTAAATCTTTAATTTGATCGGTGATTTCAATGAGTTTTGTTGTCGTTGTTTTTAATTCATTTTCCACTTCGCCTAATTGTGTACGTTTTGTAGCTAAATCGTTTCGTAATTGCTGTTCGGTATTCTTCTCCATCTCAAGTAATTTTTGTTGATTATTTATTTCACGTACCTTAGCTTTTTCCATATTAGTTTTGTCGGTTAGTGTTCGTTTCATCTGATCAACTCGACCTTTGATACGTTGAACTTCGATGACTTGTGTTTGATGACTATTAGTAGCATTAGTCAATGCTGTCTGATTGTCGTTCATTAATAAACGATGTTCTTGAATAGTACGTTCATGTCTCTCAATGGTAGTCTGTAATGTTTCAATATTAGAATCTAATTCTTGTTTTTGTTGTTCATGAGTGTGAAGTTCATGTTGAGACCTTTGTAGATCGTTTGTAGTGGTATTAAGTTGAACTTGAGCACGTTGCAATTTGCTTGACGTTGTTTTCAAATTAGTTTCAGTCGTTGTTCGTTGTCGATTAATGTCACGCAACGTATTGCTCACCTGTTCGAGATGTTGTTTTCTTGTAGCAACTACGGATGATCTTTGTTGAACTATACTTTCTTGCTGTGATCGTTCGTTAACTCGTTCACGATATTGTGCGGCACTTTGACTAGTTTTCTGCTTAGCTGCAGTATGTTTTTCACGTGCTTGATTACAGGCATTACGTTTCTCTTCAACTTTATCACGAGCTCGTTGGACAGCACTTTCAGCCTCTTTTGTATCAGCAGCCCGACCACCAACAAATTTAATACATATAGCAGTCCACCAAAAAAACGATGTAACAACAGTGATTATCTTTGCTTGTCTTAATCGACTTTCAGCAGCACGCAATTGTTCCTCAGCTATGCGTTGTTCATTTTCTGCATTTGTCAACTGTGATAGAGCCTGTTGTTCTTCACTGACTACACGATTATGTTGCATTTGTTCTTCTCTTTCTTGTTGTTTTAATCGACTAAGTAATTGCTCAGCCTCTCGAAGTTCAGCTTCTGCAGTTTGTTTTTCTCGTTGTGCTTCTTCTTTTTGTTCTCGTAAATCATTACATTTCTCAGTTAATTCTCCCAGACGTGATTCTAGAGTGTCATGTTGTTCTTGAAGACGTTGAGTTTCTTCCGTTTGGCTTTGAAGTGTCTGTTCAAGTTGAGCAACTTTCATTTGTGCTCGTGTTAGTAAATCTTCGGTAGCACGTAACTTTTGCTGAAGAGCATTAAGTTGTTTATTATAATCGGCACGTTGATCGTCTAATGCAATGAATTTTTTCTCTAATTCACGTTTTTCATCTTCCAATCGTTTACGTTCAATTTCAAATTCTTTTAATTGTTCTTCTGCTTGATTCAATTTCTCATTGACTGTTTCAAGTTCTTCACTAAGGTTTTGAATTTCTTCGCGTAGTTCATTTATTTCTTTATCCAATCGTCGAATCTTTTCTTGAATACGATCAACTTGTGCCTGTTGACGAGCAAGACCAGCTTCTTTCTCGTGAATTGTTCGTTCGAGTTCAGTAATCATGGACAATAATTGTTCATGTTGCTTTTTTAGATCTTTTTGTTGCGCAGAGAGAATTCGTTGTTCTTCACCTAATCGTTCCAATTCAGCGGCGACATTTCTCAACTGTTCTTCAATATTGTGCATTTCAGCTCGTAATTCTTCGATACGCAGTTCGATTTGTTGTTTTTGTTCATTTTCTTGAGCGAGTTTCTGTTCTTGTTCTTGAAGTTCGCGAGAAACTCGTTCTATCTGTTCTTGAAGTCCTTTCATTGAAAGCTGAAGATAGTTCTGAGTATTGCTATTCTCGTTCGATTTTTCTTTCATAGTATCGAGTTGCTTACGCAGTTGTTTTTCTTCCATTTCCAAAGTACTTTTTGTAGTGTTATGATGAAGTAATTCACGTTCACTGTTCTCAATTTGCATTTGAGATGTATCCAGATTTTCTCTTTCTTTTGCAATGACTTCGGTCAACCTGTATTTTTCAGTAAAAAGTTCGGTCTTTTCCTTTTCTTCTCGTTTTATTTGTTTTACTTGTTCGTCTAGTTCACCAAGTAATTTGTTGATATCATTATTCAATTCGTCACCAGCTTGGGCACGATCATTCTTTTCTTTAAGGAATTCTTTCTTCTTCTCTTTTAGTTTGTCATGCTCACGAGCACAGTGATCAGTGACCGCTTGTCGATCAGTTTCAACTTTGGCATAATCAGGTGAACGTTTTTTGAAAAAATCGTCTTCATCAAAGTCTTCCATTTTAATGATCACTTTTCAACGAATTCAAATCTGAAATCAACAACTATGATATACAAAATAGTAGGTTCGTTATGAAAAAGGTTTCTTATTAAGAAGATTTTTCAATATTCTTGAAGATAAAGAATTATTGTCATCTGACGCTGAAACAATTCACAGGACAAAATAAAACAGTTTTTTTTCTAAATATTTCCACTAACATACAGCTTCAGGCTTAACTTAAACTATTCACATATACAAAAATGCGTATGTTTTGTTTAGTTGTTTTGCTGCATAATCGACTTTTCATTCATGCTAATAGCAGTTGGTTATCTTCAAAAACGTACGTTTTTATTAAGAATGAATAATATGGATAGTCCATAATGCACATATATCTTTGTAAGTTACGCCACCTGTTTTTTATAAACGAAAAAAAAAATACTTTCAATTTTCCTAGTTGTGAATGATATAAAGTCTATATCTTAGTAAAAAATATTTCAAAAAAGTCCTATAGTTTCATATTTAAAATTTTTAAAGTGTTCAAACTATTAAACATGTAACTTTTTCGAATTTTTACTTGAACATTTTCTTTTTTTTTGCTTTATACAATAGACTATAAAATTTAGAACTAAATATCATTACATTTTGTCAATTGTCGTGATAATCAACAAATGAAGGTTTTTCTACAAAACAGATCGATTTTATTATTTCTAATTAAAACTAGTAAAATTTGTTAGAATGATACGATTTTTCAAAATCTATAGGAAATATTACTATAAGACCTTATATTGAGGACAAAAGTACTTCACTCCAGTTTTGTCATAGTTTTTTTTTCATATTTTTAAATATGTTTATCATGAATTTGAATTGAAGTAAATCTGAAACATAAGAAATACTGATATTAAAGTTCAAAACTTTAAAATAAACAAAAGCGAATGTATGCAAAAGACCCTTATGTCATCTCAGGTATGGGCTATTTTTAATTGGTTTTGAAAGGCTTCACAATTGCTACTATTTAAGTGATGTTCCATAATTGATGCAATGCTCTATTTGCAAATGAAAGATTTAGAATTCTAATAGTTCTGTTTATATATCGCAAATGTAGACATTTCTACCAACGCATTCCAAGTATGTATGAACAGATTTAAACTATGTCATATTTAAGTTAACGTAAAAAAATTGTCCTCTTTTTCGAACAGAAAAATAAACGAAGTCATTTAATAAATTTTACATATGTATTTATATGAAATCAGTGTGGATGTACTGTTCATTCAAAATTCAGGTTATGTTCAAAGATAAACAGTTCACTCATGATTATTTGAAGACAATTCCTATTTATTTCAGATGAATTCAAGTTTTCCATGGAAGAGTTGGTTTATTGAATTCTAGTTTCAACAAGATCTTCGAAACTTAGATGCTGTAGAAACTCATACAAAGAACTATGGATCGATTTCAACAGTACACAGTTTCGAATAATAGACAAAGGTTTGTAACAAGAATTTATTAATCGGTTCTAACTAGCTACAGATCGAAATGATAATATCCTACTATTGTATCTAATTCTCGGATTCCTACTTCGATCTTCCTATCAAATGCCTAACTTTTTTGGCACACTCCTATTAGAAATTCATGCATTGTCGTACCAAAATTTTTGATCTAGAAAAAGATAAAACTGTGTTTCTCTTGCTTTCATAATGTTGCAGTTAAAAATCAATCATAATTAGATATCAAGAGAATTTTTGAATCATCAAAAATTTTACTAATTAAAAAAAATAAATAATATTCATGTTTTTCGACTATATATTAATATGAATCACTGCCTAGTTACAGGTTCATTAGCATAATATATTTCTTATAACTAATATTATGTTTAGTGTAACGATAAGGTACTACACTCCCTATACATACTAATCAGAAGAGTACATGC